CAAGCTGAACTACTTGTCAGAGTCCACCAACCCGTACACCCTGCAGGACAATTCGATCAGCTTCAAGGTCTACAGCGCCTCCAAGAACAATCGCTTCCCAAGCCAGCAATAATCGCATTCTACACTTCTTCAATAACCCACCCGTATGCCGTCCGAGGATCTGCTGCAGACTGCATTCATCACCAAAGGCTGCCACCCGTCGCAAGTGCGAATGTTCCCGCTGAAATCGGGAAGTTCCTCCTCCGGATTGGTCGAGTTCCCGAGCGTAGCCCTGGCGGTGAACGTCATCATGAAGTGCAACCACAGCGTGATGATCACAAATGCACAAAACTCCCGTTCATTATGAAGCTGTGCTTCTCCTCCTCCAAGAAGATGAACGGTGCGTGGAGCAACGAAAACACCGAAAACACGTTAGCTTTGAAAGAGCGGAAGCTTATTTTCTGAGAAAAAAAGGATTTTCCTTTTTCTGGGTAGTTAATGTTATGATTCGTAATTATAATTTCTTATTGTGTTAGTTGGAAGTGCAAAAAGGAACGAGAGTAAAAATTTGTTGAACTATTTGAGATTTTGCCAAGACGGTCCTCCAACATTATATGTTGGACGATGGAATGGTTGATGTAGCAGCCACCGCCATGGATGTATTCGAGCAGTTCGAATGGTCGGATGGTATAGATTTTGTTTGGTTGTTGACTTTCCGATTAAAACTCAAGCACCGCTTGTCGTGACCGGCCCAATATTTCCAGCGTCGACCACGGCTACACAAATTAGCGATGCAGCTCCCACGGCTGCGGCTGATTCCAATGCTGCTGCTGCTTTAGTTGCTGCTGCTGCTGTTCCTTCTGCTGGTCCGTCTCCTCTAAAATTCGTCAAAAAAGATAGACCAGCAGCAGCATTGGAAGCAGCCGCAGCCGTGGGAGCTGCATCGCTAGTTCGTGTAGCCATGGCCGGAAACCTCGGTTAGGTCGAGATACCGCTGTCAGCTGTTCTTCGTCTGAGAGGACATGTGGATGCGAGGATGCGACTGCCGTCACGGTTGTAACGATTTTGAGAATCCATGGCGAGACTTGGTGGAGATTCACGGTTGTTTTGAAAATAATTTGACTAGGAGTGGCAACGTCAATAACAAATTTTGACACATGCACACTGCGCAGGCACAGAAAAAGTTCAGTGTTGCCAGTAACTTTGAAGATCATAAAAATTGTAACCATGGGTGCCAAACAACGTCAATGACTGCAACCCGATGTGCCCCAGTTTGATTTTGGCACACTGTGTAGAGTGACCAACCCCTTGAGTAGGGTACATGTCCCTAAGCTCGATCTATTATACATTTTATGTCATTTATTATTTAATAATTGAAATGCAAAAGATATTTCACTGTCAACATGCAAGCTTAGATATTCTTATAATTTGGATTTTAATTACGCACGACCGAAAATTGTAAAACTCAGTACTTTAACATGAAAACTTTCCAGGTACCGTATGCGTGATAATGTTTGCACCATCGTACAAATAAGGTTCCCGTTTCACCTGTGCATACAATGCCTTGGTTTTCTTTGCATGCACGTAACCTAAAGCTCATACCGTAGTAGGCTGTGTATAAAAGAAAATGATTTACTTAGTTTGACAGTTGCACCATGACGAAGTGGCAGCGTATTCGTGATTTGTCCCACGCGCAAATGTTGCAAAAAGACATTTCAATCGCCGTGGGAGTGTCCCGGTGGACCGTCAAAAGGGTTTTAGACCGACAAAGGAAAGGATAACTATCCGCGAAGGTGACCACAGGTCGTCCGAGGTCAGCTCGGGTTCCGAGAGTTATCGCTGCTATCAAAAGGAAGATTCGGGTGAATCCAGTGCGTTCAATAGGGAAAATGGCAAAAGAACACGGGATCAGTGACTTTACGGCACGGAAGATCGTAAAGGAAGATTGCGGAGCGAAGTCGAGGGCACGGAAAAAACTCACATGATTACCAACCGCATCCGAGAGCTACGAGTCGAACGATGCAAGAAAATCTTGAACTGCCTTAAGCGAAAAAATCCGGTAATCCTGTTCACCTACGAGAGCATGTTTACCGTCGATCCCGTATCAAATTCCAGAACCGACCGGTATATTGGTTCTCTTCCGGTAAAAGACGTGGCCGACGAGCACAAGATCGTGTATCTGACCAAGCATCCTGCTAGCGTTATGGTGTTTGGATTGGTGGTTTCCGATGGCAAAAAAATGGACCCGGTGTTCATTCCAGAAGGCTACAAGGTCAACACGGAGGTCTACCGCTGGAGGTCTACATCTACCGCTGGATTACTCAATATGGCGCGTCATGAAGGCCAATACCTGTTCTAAACGCCACCCGAGTACAGCAAGCCTCAGACAAACATTGACCCGTACCCGAGAGAAATGGGTCCTGACTACATTATTAGAACCTGCCGTGCATTCCGGAAGCGTGTGGAGGCCGTAATTGCAGCAAGTGGAAACTCGATCGATGATTACAATGTTTAAGACTCTGAGAAACATCTCCCCTTTGAATAAATAAAAAAACTCGAAAACGATATTTTTGAGAATTTTTGTTTTAAATTTTGACATTGCTCAATGGTGCAAACATTATCACGCATACGGTACGTGGATGTAATGTTGGTCTACTGTACTCAAATTGGGTCTATAATTGATGCAACTACGGCCTATCGAAGATGTTAAATCTCGCTTTTTTTTCACTCCTTATCATTTATACATAACCACATTGTTGACGTCACTTACACTTCTCATGTAAGAACTGATGAGGAAGAAAGAGACAGTGTTTTCTTTCCAGTTGATCCAGGTAACATCAATCACGATGCTTCTAGGCTCTGAACCATTTGGTGATTGTTTTAAACTTTTGGTTAAAATTTGACAGATGAAAAGTTATCGATTAACCCTAAGAGGAAGAGGTGACAATTGGCTTCTTCCTTTTTTATTTCTATCTCTATCTCTATCTTTATATATCTCTATCTCTATCTTACACACATGAGTGCGATATACCCAGTCACTAAGTAGCCTCAAAATAGCGTGTACTCTTTTACCTCTATCTATATCTCTACCTAAACCTATCTCTATCTCTGTCTCACGCACTTCAAATCGGCCAATCACGAGCTGGTTCGTGACATTTTCTCCCACCAGATCTGGCCACATCATTTTCAAAGTTTTATTTATTTAATTTTTTTTTTCAAAATTTTTTATGAACCTCTCATCCTTCGTCTAGTCTCCTGCGGAAAGATGGAACTCCAACAAAAGTTTTCTCCGAACAAACCAAAATGTTCACACAAACATAACCTCCAGCAAAGAACGCTCATACAAGCACGTTCTCATAATTTCCACCCATCCTCTTCCTTTTAGACAGATTTCGGGAAAATTGCCAGCAGGAGACACACATAAGCTCTTTCGAACAAAACGAACGGCGAACCAGGCACGTACCTATTCTTTTCCATTCTCGGAAAAGAAACTCATCATCTCCCGCCGTAGTCCTTTGGCCATTTTAGAATGCGTCTGCACCATCCCATCGTCGCTAATTGAGGTTCGGCTCGGCATCGTCAACCAGCTGACTGAAACAATCTTTAATCTTTTAATATCTACTGGCCCACTCACCGTCGTTTGCGCACAACTCGATTGACTGCACTAATACTGCTGATACCGTTTCCGCCGTGTCTGTAGAAAATAGAGATTTACGTAATTATCGCGTAACTGTTCAAAAAGACCTGTGTAACATTTTCGCCGTATTGAGAAAAACGAAGTTGAAGTGCGACAGATTACTGAAGCAATGTGTGGCATAATTACGTTGAATTATTCAAACGACCATCTATCTTTCTCCCATGCAACATTGTTGCATGCTGCTTTCATTTTCAACAAACCTTATTTCAAATCCTGCTTAACTGACAAAACTCAAGTATGTCAATTAAAATATTTACCAAACACTTCAGAAACGCGTAACATACAACTATCCATATCACTTCCTTAAACCCATAAAACCTGAATACCGACGACTTAACATTCTTCTGCTTTAATCAACATCTTGGTAAAAGTAGAACAATGCCTTGATTTATTTTCCATTTACTAACCGAAAACAAGGAAACATGTCCAAGTAAACATTGCTGCTACGTTCCATCGTTATTGCTCCGTGCGCATCGATGTAACGTACCATCAATGTAAGTGGTTCATAAACACTTGAACCTCGCCACTCGTTTTAAATTCAAATATTGTTTTATACCGATGGAAGTTTGTAAATATCCCAAGCCTTCTACCAAAAATGCTGAACAATGAAGAATGCTCCAGAATTCTCTGTTTAGATTTACATACTCACTCTCACTAACAATTATTTCTTAAGTTTATAAAAACCCATCTCCGAACTTAATAAAGACACACTTCGTATTCATTTTTCAATCGTGTACCACACGACTTTGCCTTCTCCCGAAAATCCCACAAATGCAGTTTACCGTAGTCGGTGAATAATACCGGTGAAAATTCAGTAAATCTCAATTTTACATTGAATTTCATGCTACAATATGGGAAAAATCACAAACGTCGTTTTGTCTAGTCAAGTTGAACTTAGGACATGTTACATTGAACGTTTTACCTCAATGAAAGAATCAATGAGTGTTACATTGGACATTATGTTCTGCATTATACTAGCTTCCCTTTCACAGACTTCAGAATAGAGTACCCAATACCAGTAAAATGGATGTTATCATGTTAGGCAGACCAAATGTCTGAAGTAACAACCCATCATTCCAAAGTGTACATTGGACAATTTAGGATTTACAATTATTTTAAATAATTAAAAATATATTTGAATGTGTGTTTTGTATCACAAACAATGATAGAGGAGCAATAGCATGTATCGATTAACTCGATTTATTTAAATGTGTTACCTAGTACCATTTGAAAAGTTAGGCGAGAATTTATTAGACGATCTTACAGTGCAAAACCTGCCGTTTAATTTCTCTTACCGTCTATTTTGTTCTTCCTTTCATTGCAGTGGCCGGAATGACGACGGTGGAGCCATCGTTGCTAACGACTTGCATGCCAGTTGGGAACTACACTGCCTACGCCCATCCCACGTCAACCGTGCTGAATGCAACCACGGACACCCTGGCCGGTCTAGAAGCGGCCGGATATGCGGCATACTCGACCGCTCTCAGTGTGACCATTGCCATCGGGTGCAGTCTGCTGATATTGAACGTGCTGATCTTTGCCGGAGTGTACTATCAGCGGGACAAGACCCGGCTCGAGGTGAAGAGCCTGCAGAAGCAGTACCAACAGCGAGGCGGGATGCACCAGCAGGGCCCATTTGATCCGATTAAGCATGCCCACTACCACCTCGGTCACTCGCAGTCCGCCAACGTGATAGTGGACGTGGAAAACCACGACACCGGAGCGCTGATACTGGCCAGCGATGTGAAATCGCCCCATATCTGCTCCAACTCGATGCAGATCAACGTAATGAAGAGCGGGTCGCCGGGCAACGACGGGCGAGGCGGAGGAGGTGGACCGGGCGATGCTGGCTGTAACGTTCCATCGGGTCAAACCGCAAATAATGCAAAAATCCCACTGGCCAATAACACCTCGTACAAACCCCGAACCGAGCACATTACGATACCAATCAAAAATTCAACCTTCACCGGCGGGACCGGGATGATGACGCTGCCCAAACCGGGCACGGTGCACATCCCGATGAGCTACAACCGGAACGAGTGCATGACGTTGCCACGGAACGCCGGCGGTGGCATTAGCACGTCCAGCACCAACACAGGTGGGTGTGAAGACGCGAGTAGTAGTTGCTCTAATCGAATTATTCCTTTCCGATTGCCTACCTATCTGCTGGACGATGGCGAATCCTATCTGCTCTATCCCATTAATTCCCGATACTCTTAGAATCCACATTCGACCGTCAGTGAGTGCATGGTTGGCTAGGAGCAGCGATGGTTTTGTCAGAAGGGTTTAAATTTGTATTAACGGGGCTTTTTTTTCTTTTCTAGAATTAACACTTTAATAGAACCATGATAAAACAGGGTGGAAGGCGATATTTTGAAATTGTTTCACTAACTAAAATCTATTTAATGGAATCTTTAGAGTATTTGGATTACTTTTTTTTCTTAGGAAATTGATCCTACTTAAGTCTAAATTTAGGAATACAAAACTTCTATGGCAATGTCACTATATCTAGGGTAAGTATGTCAGTTTTCGGCTCCCAAATCTGCCCATTTACCCTATTGCATCTATATCACATGAAACAATATTTCCAACGGTTGACCCCAATCTGCTTCAGATGCATATCCCTTGCTACAAATTTAAAGTCCATGAAAATTTTAGAACTCTCACACTATGTGGCGCTACTGCGCACATGAACTTTCTTTATATGCTGTATCTCGAGATCATGGTTATATAGAAGGTTACTGTCTTCGGCAAAGTTGTTCAGGTGACCTAGACGGATGGTGTTCACATTAGTTCAGAACTCTTTCACTATGTAGCGCTGTTGCTGTGCAATGTGAGTATTTTTGGAACAGGTGGCCGTGTAGAGGCTAGATATCGATGCAAGACTCCATTTCGGAATCCAATAGGGCGGCCATCTGTTTTAGAAATACTGTCAAATATCCTACAATATGGGTATTTTCTGAACGGTGACGACGTGTAGAGGCCTACAATTTATGTTTGACGTCATTTTGAAATCCGGTCTTGAAAATTCTGATCTCTTATCACTTGTTGGTATTTTAAATAATATAGGATTCCTGGTTGATATTTGAGAATATCTTGAATTGTTGGATAGTTGAAGATCTTCAGACTGATGTCTGTTCAAGCTGAAGTCTTAAACAAATATCTTGAGGATATTTTGGAGATCTATGATCACCTGGAGGTCTTTGCAATAACTTTTGAGAAACCTGGTATCTCAGGAGGATATCTGGGCGATATGATTTGAATTGTTGTGCAGTTGAAGATCTTCAGAATGATACCTGATCAAACGGAAAGTCTTAAACAAATATTTGAGGACTTTTGGAGATGTCTGATCACCTGGAGGTCTTTGCAATAATTTCTGAGCAACCTGCCATTGAAGAGAATATATGTAATCTGAAATGTTGGATGGATTAAGATATTCAAAATCATACATGATCTAGCTGAAGCCTTGAACGAATATCTTGAGAACTTTTGGGATATCTGAAATCACTTGGCAATCATTGAAATAATTTCTGAGCAATCTGTTATTTGAGAGAATAACTGGAAAATGTTATTTGAATTATTGGGCAATTGAAGATCTTCAGAATAATACATGATCAAGCAGAAATATTGAACAAATAACCTGACGACTTCTGGGAGATCAAGATGTTTCTAAAGTCTTGAACTTGGTGAGGATTTTTTCTGAAGAATTTTAACTGTTCATCATGCCATTTTGGAACATCAAAGTTCTCCATTAAATTGATTGGATATTACTAAGCCTTGAATCAGGTGTATCAAGTATTATGCTGAAGATCTCCTACTATACAAAAATTGAAATCTTAATGCTTTAATATTCTCACATGTTACCAGAATTCTCAGAATCTATAATCTTCGTAATGCCCTCTGGATTTTTTTTTTTAATATTTTTAGAATTTCTGGTTGATCAGGATTTATGCTGAAGATAATAAACTGTCCAACGTCAAAAACAGTAATCGAACATCTCAATATAATCTTCTGGATATACAGTGAACCCTCATTTACTCAGTTTCTTCCTAACTCGATGGAAATCCAGGCTACTTGGACCATTCTCCCCATACAAATTTCCCAAATTTACCTCCCAATCTCGCTATCATTCCTATCTCAATGGTCCCTTCAATATCGAATTAGGAAGAAATTACTGTATACTAATTTGAATAAGATTTGCATTAAGCCCTCTAGATGTTCGTTCAAGACTTCCAGTTCACCAGGCATTTTTTTTTTTGAAGATCAGATTATGAAGGAATCCAAACTGTCAGGTATTTTTGTATAATAGCTAGCAATAAGAAATTATTGCTAGCTAATTTCTGTACCAGTCGATCATCATTTCAAATAACATTTATTAGATATTTACTCATAACGCCATGTCGACCATTCCGTCATCTTGGATTACAAAATGGCGGCGGACATCGAGTTTTGACATCTACACGTCGTCTTCGTTGCAGAAATATCCATATTGTTCACGCTAAGATGCACATACCTTAAAATCGGTAGAAATTACCAACAATCGAAGAAAGTGCGCATACCTAAATTATCGGTAATCATGGATTACTAATAATTAACGTTAAAAATTAAAAAAAAATAGAGTAAAAAGCAACGATTTTTATCGGTAAACAATATCGATAACTTTTTACCGATAATTATAGGTAGTCGTAGCTAAGAGTGTTGGGTATTTGATAATTTTTTGTTCTAAAATTGATGGCCGCCATCTTGAATTTAAAAATGGCGTCCAACATCGATTTTCAGCCTCTACACGTCGTCTCCGTTCCGGAAATGGCCATATTATACCCACAAGTTTTTTAGAAGCCCGATGGCCGTTATCTAGGTTTCCAAAATGGCGGCAGGCATCGAATTTTGACATCTACACGTCTTCCATGTTCTGAAAATACCAATATTGTACGATATTTGACAGAATTTTTAAACCAACGGCTGCCATCTTTGATTAAAAAATGAGATCCAACGTCGATTTTCGACTTCTACACATCGTTCCCCTTTCGTAAAATACCCATATTATAGGGTATTTGATAGTAGGTTTAGAACAGATGGCAGCCATCTTGGATTCTAAAATGGCAGCGGACATCGAATTTTGACATCTTCAAGTCGTCATCGTTTCGGAAATACTTGTATTGTTGAGAATTGTACAGAATTTCTAAAACCGATGGCCGCTATCTTGGATTCCAAAATGGCGTCCAACAAAGATTTTTGACACCTACACGTCATCATCGTTTCGGAAATACCCATATTGATGATAATTTTACAGGTTTTTCAAAAACCGATGGCCGCTATACGTTTGGGTATTAGAAAGAATTTTTAAAGCTGATGGCCGCCATCTTGGATTTAAAAATGGCGTCCAACATCAATTTTTGATTTCTACTCATCGTTTCCATTCTGGAAACACCTACATATATTGTAGGGTATTTGACAGTATTATAGAAAACCTATAGTCCTCTCCAGGCGGGTTCGTATTGGTGCGATTTGCGTGTGCTAGTGAGATGAAATTTTTTGTTAGCTGTGAGATTTTTTTTGTTTTGAAGTAAAAATAAACAACAAAACGAAAACAAACCCTACGCTTTCACGGTAACAGTCAAATACCCTTTTATGAGTCAAAGTTAACCCATTTTTAATAAAAGCGGCTTTACTCATTAATGAGCAAATTATTTTAACAATAATGAGTTTCTGCCAACAGTAGCTAACAGTTAGTACTTAATTGGTATAATAAATTACTCATTAATTAGCAATTTTTTTTTTTTTTTAATTCTTTATTTAAGAGATTTTTAGCCTTAGGCTAGTTCATCTCTAATTAATTAGCAATGTCACTTTTATCGACAATGAGTTCACTTTTACTCATAAATGGATGTTGGATTCTTACCGTGCACAATACAGTATACGCTAGCGTGTGTAAAATTATATTATTAGTGTAGTGTTCGTGAGATCCTGCTTGGAGAACTCAATTGCCATCATCTTGGATTTCAAAATGTCGGTGAACATCTAATTTTGACACATAAACGTCGCACAGTGGTCCAGCACTGCGAAAAGACGGTCAAAAGTCATTATCTCGTGAATCTTGAATTTGAGATAAATGGTGTTTTCGGAAAAGTTTCTCTGCCAGCGCTTGAATTTTGATGACCCAGTTCGCCACGTAATTTCAATCGTATTCAGCATTCCTCTAGTGGAATGATCGTCATTCCTCATCCACCGTTCCAGGTTCAATTAAATACCTTGACGTTTCGCCACTGCGCCTCGATCCACCCAGTTCCGATTCCCATTCGACTGTAAGCTCAAATTGCTCTTGGCAGCGTGTCTCGTCCGGCGGGTATTTGCTGACAGCTCTCACTTCCTTGCAGGACCAAACCGTTCCATAGATTTCTCTAAATCGAGAAATTCCATCAACCGAGACTTGACGACAGCTTGGATTTTGCGAGTGACTCTCGTTCCGGTTTGTCCGATACCCGATACCCGATATCGAAACATCCAGAGACCTTCATCAGGTGACATAGATTTTCAGAGATGATGTTGCATTCCAACCCGCTGTCTCAACCGATGCGACATTCGCTGCCTTAGGATCAAAACTTGAATCGATTGGCCTTTGGTGATCCATTCCAACTACTTCTTCCTTCGCCCCTGAAGCACAGCAGCGTGTGGTGTCGAGCCTTGCAGTTCCGACACGAGAACCTTGACAAGCAATCTCGAGCTAGATGTTTGAGACAGTTTCGGTAGACTGAGTATGCTCGTATGAACGACTCCCTGCTGGATAGCGACATTTCCATGAAGCCCATACATCTCCGTACATGATGGGCACTTAGTGGTATTCCATTACACGGCATTGCGGCTGACCTTCGGAGAAAACGGCTTCCGTTTTGGTTGTTGATGTTCATATCTGGATTCTACCTTCGCTGGTGGAGACTCGGGGATCTGAAATCTCCGTTGAAGAAACTCTTTTAAGTCTTTCAGCGTGTCAGCGGACGTGTGTTCCTCCCCTGCCATGTCAAGTAGCTGGATTCAGACGAACACTGAGCAGTTCTACCAGCAGCAAATCCCTGTATTCAGCTGATTCGACGACTTGAT